TCGAACGCCGCGGCGGGAAGGGGCTATTCGAGAGCTGGGCATGGCGGAGAACGCGCCGGGCGCCAAAGTCAGAGGTGAAGGGAGACTTGTCGAGCTGAGGCGGCGAAGGAGGGTTTGGGGGCCGGACGCGGGCAGCGCTCTGTGCATTCTCCGGGGAGGGGGGAAGATTGCTCTGCACCTGGCTTGGGAGGCTTTTCTTGCCCCTGACTGCCGCCCTCTCTGTTTCCTTTTTCTGAAGGAGGAAGAATTGTGCCGTCCCGTTACTTGCAGTATGACCGGAAAACCACAGGGAAGGTAAGCCCGAGGTGGAAGGTCCGCTGCCTGGCTACGGAGAGTGGCGCGTCCCCGGTCGCTATCTCTCTTGTGAGGAAGACGGCCTCGTATCAGACTACTTACTGGATCAGTAGATCCAAAATGGGACTGTCGGGACTAGGAAGCTAAAAGTCTTACGTCCAAGAGAACTGGGATGTGAAGTCATGTTAGTTCAATAATTGCTGTGTTATTCTAATACTTACAGGAAGGTGTATACACTTTATTTGATATAACTGAGTAGTTTAATTGAAGGTACATTGATAACTACGGGAAGGAGGCAGCCCTGGTGGTTTTAGCTGGTGATCCTTGACTGTAGCAAAGGGCTATGACTCTTAGTTGCTCTTATGGGCTTTATCAGGGATGTGCTTTGCACTGGTTTCAGTCGTTCCTTATGAACTAGACTCTGTATGTATGTAATGTAATCCAGGGCTTGACAAATTCCAGGCACCAGGTTGTCATTGTTGCCCTTAGTATTTTCAGCAGTTATTTGACTGTAGCATCTCTCAGCAATTCTCTGTGGAAGTACAGAGAGATGGATCCAACAAATTGTGAAAAAGTAAATGCTTGTGATCATTTTTATGAGCATGTGTTAAAACATATTGCATCTGAAGAACTAGTGTTTTTTAAGAAATGGGAAAACCTGCTTATGTGTGTTGCTGTTATACAAGATGAGAAGGCACTCTTTATAGTAAGCTCTGTTAAAGCTATATAAGTATTGATGTGACCGAGAGCTCTTGTAAATTATTTTCCGTAAAGAAAAATGGTTCCTTGCTCTGGTTTGCAAAGTAAAATCCTTGCTTCAGGCTGCAAAGAGGCCTATAGAAACTTTCCCAGAGACAGTTAGAGATAGCAGAGCGCTGTGACCTTGCTAAATTGTTTTCAGCTGAAGGGCGCTGTGACCTTGCTAAATTGTTTTCAGCTGAGGATGGTACCAACCCGCCTTGGAGCTCCTGATTAGCACATTCCAAGCAATTGAGCTACTGACACCTGTGTGGGGGTGGGCCAGACCTAGCTGCAGTGTGGTTTCATTTCGCCTACTCTTGCTCTTGTCTATCTAGGGATGTCACGTGCCTAGTAACAGAGAGAGTTACATCACCTTTTGGGTTTCTGATAGGTTCAAAGGCCTAGAGCTGGTCAGAGACCCTTTCCCTATATATCTAGTTAACATTCACACTGGGATGGTGGAGCCTTGAGACTATTTGACATGGTATTGTCAATAGTCCCAGAGCACCCGGCATCTGGACTGGCTGATTGTGTGAACATCTTGTTTTGCTGAAACTGCCTCTGCTAAACCTGGAAAGGGTAACTGGAACCTTGTCTTTATATGTTTAGCTATGCTGGAAAAGCATAGGTTTGATTATTTTATTCCTTCACTGTGTAGTCTCATTTTTACATCTTTTTGCACCTTAAGTTATATTTTTACTCTGTCTTGGTTTTTGCCTTCAATTAACCTCAAAGGCTAATGCAGAGCCTTGACTCTTGACTACCTACCAGTTGCAGTTAACTGTTTTGTCTTGGTGATGGGAAAGACCTCTGCCTGAGACTCTGGAGAGCCACTGCCACTCCGAGTAGACAATACTAACTTTGATGGACCAACGGTCTGATTCAGTATAAGGAAACTTGTTGGGATTCTTTTTTAAGTTAGTCAGCAGAGTATTAAGAGACTGAGTCCATGTGTGTTTTAAAATATAAAAGTTTACTATAAAGCTAACATGGGAAAAGGTACACAGGATATAAAATAACAAAGAGCTAATATGCCTACATCCTTGCAGCTAAAAGGTAAACCGGGAAGAGCCGAATGGCGTCTCCTTCTCTAGTCAGAACAAAGAACAGGAAGAGAAGCCATAAAATGGTAATACTTGACACCTTGGTTTCCAATCAGAGTAGCAAACTAGCTCCAAAGTTCCCGGGCATCCTATTGTCTAAACAGATTGGTTACAACAAACATGTGACAACAAACATCATTAACCCTGAAAATACTGAAGTGTTTTTAACTTGTAACACCCAACAAAACTTCATCTATGTATTCGTGTAACTTCTTGGGACTGTAGACAGAATGTATTCAATCTTCTTTAAATACTTTCTCTGAGTTTTAATACTGGACATCTGACTTAGTGTTTAATTGCTTTCCTTATGTGACATGTAGTGCTGCCTTGTTAAATTTCTAAAAACTAAATCTTTCAGGTATTTCTTGGTTTTTAAATAGAGTTGGGATTCCAATGTGATATATGCCAAGTTTCCTTTATAAGGGAACGACTATATAGTGGGCTTTCTGTCAGGTTTAAGAGTACTAAGTTTAAATTAAACTGATTTGCAATATGTATCAGCCAATAGCCTTGACTTCTTTGATGTTCTGTATTTGTTATGCTAGTTGTGGCTACTTAAAAGTAAGCCCTCTTGAGATGGGTGAGGCTTTCTGCTATGGAAAGATGTTTAGGATTGGGATGCAAGACTCAGTTTGGCTGGACAAGTTATTGCACTGTATCATCCCCTCCCGCCCAGTTGGTCTTAATGAAAATTAAATGTGAGAACTGCTAACTTCATTCCTGTTCTCTTTCACATCAGGCCGATATTAGCCAGTCTCTCATGAAAGAGCCGGAGAGGGCAGCCTCTGCCAAGAGACCTCCTACTCAGTTACAGAAGCAGAAAAATACTTCAGGTGAGTTTGGGGCTTCGTGCAGCCTCTTGGCAATTGGACTCCATTTCTTAGCATGGGTGATTTGTCCGGGGAGCCTTTCCCATACTGACTTGCCTGACACAAAACCCATGCACATTGCAGGAAATCCTGGAAGATGTTTAAGGGTGTGCACATACTGTCCCTCTATGAAGCATGTGTGATTGAGCATGTGTCCAGTGTTCCTTTGCAGCAGCACACTTTTCAGTAACCAATGCAGTGGCAAACTAGATTTATACCACTCTTCATATGAGAAGTACCAGGGTGGTGTGTGTACTCTCTATCTATCTTATGTGAGCAGGAGCCCTGTGTGAGTGACTGGTTTGAACCCTGGTCTCTCTAGGTATCATGTGGCTCTCAAGATGTTGCTAATATTCTTCCTGGAGGAGTCCTAGATGCTACCACCTTGATGCACTCCCTGCAAGACTTGATAACATTTTCACCTTAAGTTTTCTGTGTGTGCAGAAATTGGGTTAACTGAAATTACAAGCCAATATAAATTGAAATACAATTGTAATGGTAGTTGGGGAGGGAATGCCTGGCGAGGTCTTGGTCAAGGCTGCCTCTTCTCCCCCACATCTTCGAGTAGGTCATACTAAGCTTTGGTGGTGGTGGTGGTGGGGGAGATGGATGCCCATAGATTTGTCTCTCAATTTATCCTCCTCCAGAGATGACCTTCAGGGTGCTGCATTCAACTGTCCTGGAAGACCACGGGAATGCTCAACCAGACCTGGATTTCTCTGTGATCAGCGGTGGGTGCATTTTTCTGGCTGAGATTCCACACAGCTAGTTCTCCTTAGTGGGGGTGATGTTAGGACTTTGGGCAGATGCTTTTTTAATGGCAATCTCCCACCGTGACATAGATACGATTGAAGGGAGGCTGCAGTTCAAGGAAGAAAGGTCCAAACATTAACCTAGGGGTAGCCAAACTTGCTTAATGTAAGAGCCACATAAAATAAACATCAGATGTTTGAGAGCCGCAAGATATGAACAAATATTAAACACACGTTTTTATTGAAAAATATGCAAATTTGTTTTTATTAACATTAAATGAGACTGCCAAAATAAAAACCAATGGGGTAAAAACAGATATTGATATTTTTTATTTGTCCAATTATATTTATTTGTTTGCTAGTAATATTTATTTGTCAAAGAGAGAAAGAAAGCAAATAGATGGGGTGAGAGGGGGAAGGAAGGGAGAGAGAAGAAAGGTGGAAAGAAAGCAAATAGGGGAATGGGAAATAAAAAGAAAGAAAGCAAATAGATGGGGGGAGGAAGTAAGGAAGAGAAAAGTGGAAAGAATGAAAGAGGTGGAAATAAAGAAGCAAATAGGGAGGGAAGGAGAGGTGGAAAGAAAGCAAATGTGTTCTCCACCGCCACCCTCCAAGCCCAGCTGCCTGGTGTGGCAAGGCTTCGAGAACCCATTTAACTTTAGATGGGGAGGGAGGGGAGAAAAAAGGTGGAAAGAAAGTGGAAAGAAAGCAAATAGATGGGGAGGGGGAGGAAGGGAGATTTTTTTATAAGAGTGTATTATTGGATTTTTTCATATTGAACAAAGAAAAAACATTTTCTCTTGATGTATTTACATGTTAACAGAAATTCTCCACCATATAACAAAGTTCACTCTTTAGCACTCAAAAAAGAAGGATAAGCCTTATTCATTGACTAAACCAAACTTTGACTCTTTTAACCAATTATAAAACCTTGACCAATGCTTTTCATAATTTCCCAAGTTTCTTTCTTCAATAATACAAGTTAATTTTTCCATTTCTGCAATATGAAATGGTTTAATAATGATCTCATCTTTAGAAGGAATATTATTCTCCTTCCATCGTTTGGCAAATACAATTCTTGCTGCTGTTAAAATCTGCATAATTATATATATATCTTTGTTCTTAAATGACTCAGGTATCACATTTAATAAGCAACATTCTGGGTTTAAAGGGAAATCTTTACCTAATATTTTATCTATGATTTCTTTCACCATAGCCCAATATTTTTTTGTTTTACTACAAAGCCACCACATATGGTAAAAAGTACCAGTATTATGATTACACTTCCAACAACTTTTCCCTATTTTCCCATTGAATTTATTTAATCTAGCAGGAGAAATATGCCACCTATAGAACATCTTTATAATTTTTTCTTTAAAGGCGCTTGTTCTTACGAATTTTATATTTCTTGTCCAGATTTTATCCCATTGTTCAAAACTTAGATTGTGGCCTATATCTCGTGACCATGCTAACATCGATGTTAAAAGAAAGCAACTCTAGCTTTAAATGTGTCCTCCAAGTCACCGCCATGCTGGCTGGCTTGGCTTGGAGATTTAAAGAGACAAATGCCTTCTCCCAGTGGGGGGGCGGGGGCTTTGAGAATGCATTTAAAGTTAAAGTTCAGAGGTTAACTCATTATACCTCATGATAGCTGTGTTGGCTAGCTATGAACAAACACCAGAAAGGCTAATTTTTTTAAGGCCTAAGGTTTGAATGGGCAGGGCCGTTTTGCCCAATCAAAAATCAGACCAGTGAAGTTATGTTGACATGAACCTGGCTCTGAAGGGGGCCACTTTATGATGGGATAGAGGGGTTATCTGCATTCTAACCCATCCCTTGCGTAGTGAAAAATCATAGCACCAATTGAGGATGCATTCGTGCCAAGTCCTGTCCTAGTAAAAAAGCGGTTTGTCTCTATACCTGAATTGTTATCCAAAGGTCACAAGGTTGATTAGTCAACCCTTCAATAGCCAGCTATTTCCCATTTGGTCACTTCGACCCATTTGCAGGCTTAGGGATTAATATGAGGCCAGAATGTGTCTAATGAAAGAACGAGAAATTGGGCTAAAGGTCCAATTCCAGCTGTATATTCCAGCAGTATTTTATTTATTTGTTTTGCAAAATCGGTCTCAAAGTCAAAACCTTTTCTTTAATATCCTTGTTGGTAAACCCTGAAAGTTCTGCACTTCTTTCTCTGCTACTTCTTAAGTGGAGATTCTCTTTGCTTCTTTAGTATTGAGTCTCACTGGGTTTTTTTACTTATTTATTAAGATTTATACCCCGCCCTCCCCGCAGAGCGGGCTCAGGGCGGCTTACAAGGGGCAAAGCCCATATAAAACAGATAAAAGCAATAAAACATTAATGACAATTAATAGAAATTATATTCAGTTTAACAAGATGGTCTCCGGATGGTTCTCTAGGGTGATGTTATCCTATAGCTCAACCAGGTAAATCCAGTGGCCATGCAGAAATTGTGGCAGATCTTCCTGGGCTATCCTTAACCCCGATGTTGTCCACCTCATTGGTGGCGGCGGTAGTCCTTTCATTTATGAGTGAAAGGAATACTTCCTAAATTGAAGCTGGAACAAAAAATACATCAAAAGATACCCTGGTTATTTTATCTCCACTTAAGCTATGCTGTCTCGAAGCTGCATCTACAGACAATTCTAAAATCTCCTCAAATGGATTTTGAAAAACTTTTAGCCTCTGCAGACTCATCCAATAAAGGCATAATTTCAAGAATATATGCCATACTACTACAACCGAACAGCAAAAAACATCTTAGTTACCAACATGCTTGGCACAGTGATTGCAACTCCATCTTCACAAACATGCAGTGGTTTAACATCTGGTCTTTCATCTAGCTGTTCTAACATACCTGCAAAACTACAAGCATACACGTTGCTAACCAGATGGTACCTTACTCCTAGGAATCTAGTCTTAATCTCATCTTCACACACACACCCCCCCTCTGTTGGAAGAACTGTGGAGAGACAGGTTCTTTCGCCGTTTGCTGGTGGCAATGTAAATGTATCATTAAATTCTGGAATGAAGTTCTGCAAATCAAGAGCATCTCAGAACATGAAATTAAACTAGAACTCATTTTCTTAAACCTCTGTCAAGACAATCCTCCCCCCAAGCTCAGATGTGTTCTAATTAATAGTTTATTGACAGAGGCCAAAACTGCAGTTACTCGAAGTTGGAAATCTCCAAAAGCACTGACAACTCTCAACTTGGTATAAAAATATATGGGAACAACTAATTATGGAGAAAAACCTCTGACAATTTACTACAAATTTATCCAAGATCAACTAATTTCATGGAAAAGTGGTTCCCCTTCTTCGAATTTATCGCCGAAAATGATATTCTACCCCCTAATCTCATCTATCAGGAACTTCTTTCTCTCTAATTGTTCTCTTAATCTCTTTTGTGTACTTGTGGATGTCGGGAGGCAGAGTCTGACCGCTATTGATCGATTGTAATCAATATGCTAGTTCCTCATTTGGTTCTATTGTTTGATTTTACCATTAATTATATCTATTTTACTAAGTACAGATACCATCACTGCATCTGTTTACACATGATTTTGAATGTATAACGTGTTTAAAAGGTAAAGGTTCCCTTGCTCGAAAGCCAGTCGAGTCCGACTCTAGGGTTGCGGTGCTCATCTCCGTTTCAAAGCCGAAGAGCCAGCGCTGTCCGAAGACATTTCTGTGGTCATGTGGCCGGCATGACTAAACACTAAGGCGCACGGAACGCTGTTACCTTCCCACCAAAGTGGTACCTATTTATCTACTTGCAATTTCTTGCTTTCGAACTGCAACGTTGGCAGGAGCTAGAACTAGAGACGGGAGCTCACTCCGTCATGCGGCAACTTGGGTCTCACACTGCTGAACTACTGAACTTCCACAGCCTGCAGTTCAGCGTCTTAAACACTTGAGCACAGTGCTAAACCAACATTAATGTAATGCTGATGTTCGTTGATCTTGTTTCTCAGTATGATTGTAGTTTCTGTAAAAATTCCATAAAAGTAAAATAAAATGAGTGAAATGAACCAATATATCTCAGGGCAACTTATTCTTGAATGCAGATCTTGAATTCGCTCTGTATAACTGGTCGACATCAGGAAAATCTTGTGCCTTCAAATAATCTTCAAGCGGCTCGCAAAAGCTCTCTTTCAAATTTGGTCTCCCAAAGTCCTCTGAGAGGTTATTAGATCTACATTGGGTTTCCAAAACTTCAGTTCTTTGTTCCTGTTTCTCAGGCTAGCTGTCTTGTCTTTCTAAGTATACATCATTGTCTTTTTGCTTCTCTTTAATTCTTACAATTTCTTCTGTTTGCTCTTGCCGCTTTACATTAATTTCTGACAGTCCTGCTGATAATTCTTGACATGCTTCTTGGATGTTTTGGGTTCTTTTCCTCAGATTCTTGAATATTTCTCTGGATACTCTGAATGTTCTTCTGAGTTCTTGAATCGTTGCATTTGATGCATCAGTGTTTGCAATAGCTTTTCCACCAGTTCTTAGATTCTTTGGTCTTCATCGGTTCCTTCTACTTCCCTTTAAAAATTACAGTTCCTTAAGGGGTTGTACTGTAAATGTAAAACCACACAGCCCTCTTAACTAACCAGCCAGCCAGAGACCAAGGGACTAAGTCTCTAACTCTCTTGGTTCTAAGATCAAGCAGTCAGCCCTGCACGGTCGGATGCTTGCAAGCTGAGTTCCCAAAAACAGTTATTCTGGTAGCTGTAGCCAATAGGGATAAAGTACTGTGTTCAGATTGAAGCCAGAACTCAAGAACACCACAAAGTATAATTGATAAGGTTTATGAGGGAATGTGCAAGAGCAGTGAATAGCAAGGATAAAATAGTAAAAGCTAGATATTTAACCTAAGCACATTCACAAGCATTGGTTCTCTAAATCCAGATGTTACTTGTTAAGTCCAACAGAGTTCCAAAGTCCAAAGAAGGTGTCCGGCCA